CCATTGAAACAATATAAGCTTTTCATTGGTTTTCATTTTGCCTTACCTTTCAAATATTTCAGAACCCATTTACCTGAGTTTATAGGCAGAAATGTTTACCGAGGGCTGATGATGTGAGCATTTTTCCTCAAAGTTCTGCAGGCTAACATTGTGGTTTTGTGGTCTGTTGAGTTAAATCCCATTACATCATCTAATTGCGCACTGGATAATTATTAGATTCATTTGTGGTTATCACAGATACATTTTGCCTTTTTAATTCCAGAAGCGTGAACCAGCAATCCTCAGACCATAAAGTCAAGCTTTGTTTTACAGTAAACAATGGTTCCCCCCTGCCCCCATAACACTAGTCTTGCTAATGGAGGGAAAGATAATCAAACTAAAAACATCTAACACAGTTTAGTTAGGCAGGTATGTAAATTATCTCTCTACTCATTCAAACATGCAGTGAATATGTTCTGATGCTAATCTTTTCCCTCGATTGCATAGCATTGTTTTCATCTCTTCCTCAGATCATAAGTGAAACAATTTGAAGTCATTTCATGGCTGGCTGGGGTATGCTGGGAGTTGGAAGTCCAGACGTCTTAAAGTTGCCAAGGTTGAACACTCCTTCTTTATTGGAGATATATGATTTAGAAATGATTTCACTTTTATTCTTACATTGATTCTGTTGAAGGCATGTATAGCCTTCTTACCAATTTCATTAAAAAATGATCTGCATTTGCCCTCCCAGTTTTGTTAATATCTTTTTATATACACTCTGCATATCAATACTTTCTATGCCTATTAATATCTTAATATTCTTTTATGTGCATTTCTCATCCAGTCTTTACTTCCTTACTTCATCAAATATCCTTTTTCATAGGATACTTATTAGTTTTAATTTCATGCACTTCTGTGGCACTCTGCAGGCACTCTATTTCATGCAGATTCAACATCCTTTCCTTGCATCCTTTTATTTATTTATTTATTCTCTCATTGTACGTATATACACAGTATACACATACAATAAATTTTACATAATACCCAGACACCAGACCCAACATGCATACACATGACAATCCCCAAACACACCCCCACCCACCAAAATTCCCCACCCCCTAAAATACACAAGCATTCACACTAGAAACCAAGTAATACTGTCCAACACCATCACTGATGGTGGTCCTTAAGTTCATTGTTAAGTGCAATTTTGTTGTATGTGTATACTGTGTATATACGTACAATGACAATAAAGTATTATTGTTGTTGTTGTTGTTGTTGTTGTTAGTTAACCTATAGTGAGATTCACAGCCTTTGGGGCTGGTTGGTAGCTCAACAGCTCAAGTCCTAACCAAAGACCTAGGAACTGTTAAGGTAGCGTCAGAGGCTGTAGGGTGGTTTTTTGTATAATCATGGTATTCAAGTCTGATAAATTCAGAATTTCCAATTAGCGAGGTAGCCCTTTAGGTATTGCTCCAAGGGATCCAATTATTATTATTGTTGTTGTTGTTGTTTTAATTTCCATTCATTCTGTTAGGAAACTAATTTAGCTTCCACTACTATACTTTATGTTCCTGTATTTGTTGTCATTTTATTCTACTTTCTTTCATTAGTGTTTTTTTAATATTTATTTTTAAAAAAGATCTACTCTAGATATTATCAGAAATGTTGCCCCATATTCAGAACTTCTCATTGTTCACTAATGATTTCAGTCTTGCATCATAAAAATTAAAATTAGTCAAACTTTTTGATTCATTCTTTGTTCATCTCCCAAGTGAATTAATTTGTTTAAAACATATTTCTTGAAGCAAGTCTTCATCAAGCCATTATAATTCATTCATTCATAGATGAGTCTCCACACAGCTCAGATCCTTTTTTATTTCATTCACTGAATCCACAAGATCAGAGCACTTTCATCCAGACCCATTAAATCTTTCACTTTCTCCTGGTTTTATGCACAATGTTTTTTTTCTCATTTCTGGACTTTTGGTCCTGCAGCAATCTTGAGCTCAAGGCTGTATCGGTAATTATATTGACCCTATATGACGCATTTATATTCCATGATCTTATTCATGATAACCTACATGAATGCCTATGTTGGGCCATAAAGACAAACTGTGACCTTACTGGTACACCAGATATTTTGTTGCCCTGCTCTCTTTATCTTTTCTAGATAAACATCTAGATTGAAGTTTGTCTCCTTGCTTTTTGGTGTTCAGTGACTTCAATGTCTATGTCCTATTGTTCAGGAAATGTCAGAGTTCATGGTCTCCAAAGTAATCATACGATTGTCATAGATTGATACATGCCAGGAAATATATGCTGATCTCATTTTCATATCAGAGAAATTATGCTGTGATTTGGATATGGATGGCATTATATGTATCATTTGCCAATTAAGACTGCCACCTGCAGAGTTGGGGGGGCATCAGGAGGGTCTTCTCAGGAGAGTTTTTGGAAGGCATTTGGGAACATTGCCAAAGACCTACAAGGGCTACTCATTGCCCTATTGATAGTGTTCACCCAGCCTCCAACTTTTGAAGGGGTAGGTCGTTGAGTATATAGTGGGAATTCATCTATAAAGTACCTTAGAACAAGTAGATTAGCTACACTTTTTTCAGTCTGTGTTCAAGCTGGATGCTAGATGTTATTCATTGATTCATAGGGCTGTATGTATGTATTGTATGTAATGTATTGTGTGTAATATATGTATTTATTGCTACTCTGGGCCCAGCTGGTGTTCAATCTCATCTTAGTGTCTTGAGACAACAGGGATCTTAATGGGACGAATAGAATACAATTAAGCCCAAGCCAAGACAGAGCTGCTGTTGGAATACACTGATGGAAGTTGTGACTAGGAAGGATACATCCCTACTTGGAAAAGAGGACCTGGGTAATTCTTGGTATTATCACCAGTTTGCTGTACTCTCTACATGAGGGTGTCTTGAAGATCACCCAGTTACAGTTGGTTCAAAAATTAGTGTTTTTTAAAAATTCATTGTCATAAACATATTACACTTACACAGCAGTCCCTATAATGGTTGTCAATTGTTTTCATAGGAAATTCAAGGAGATGGCTTTAACTTACAAAACATATATGAATGGTGCCCAAGATCAATAAAAATCAACTTTTCAATGCCATTCTCCCAGAAGCAACAACTGGTAGTACCCATTATCTAGAAGAGGACCCAAGGACAGTATAAATAGTATCTCAGACATACCACCCACACTTAAGAACAGCCTCCCCATTGATAGTCTTCTGAAATTTGGTCAAAGAGGCACTCATCTGTTGTTTCAGACATTGATCAGTATTATGTATTTTGCTGCAGGACACACTATTATTTTCTACAGTGGACATTTTAATTTCTACTGAATTATCCTTTAATTGAAATAAACTGCTGAGATTCTGGAAATATTTAATAGCATACCAGCACAACGATAGGGCCACAAACATTGGCCTCTGCTGCCTATCAGAGCTTTGGTTAATTAAATCTTTCACATAACAGATTCAATAAAAGATGTAGACTAGACTACTACCTTTAATTACACTCATGTCGCATAGGGTATTCCCAGGTACCAGTCAATCCTGACAGCAAATATACAAGCAAAATAGAAGTCCGATTTTACCTCAACCATAGTCACACCACAGTATTCTACTGAAACCAGAATTCTAATCTACGGATTACCTTGCAGGCCAACATATTGTTGCTTATGTTCCATCATCTAGAAGTTATTTGCAGAATGCATATACTGTTATTGGTTTCATGTTTTTAAATATGTTTTCCTAGAGTAGTTAAATGAACGTGCCTTTATTTTTAAATTTGTGGTTTTCTTGCAAGGCCTTTATCATGGTCCGTATATTCAAGTGTGAATGCCAACCTATTCTTATGTCAATCATGCCTTTTTAATTTTTTTAAACTTTTTTGAGTTGTCATCTTCATCATCATCCTACATTTCCTCTGGGCCACAAATTGACATATTTGGATCTCTCTCCATTTAATTTCGATAGCCATTCTGTTGGATAGATTGGGCTAAAACTGCCCCCAAGTCACCTAGTGATTTTTAAGGAGAGACAGCAACCTGAATCTGGTTCTCACTGAATACCTTAACTCAGATGTCTCATTCTCGCGGCCCGCAGGCCAATTGCGGCCCGCAGGACGATATCCTGTGGCCCCCACCATTATATGAAAGTATAATATTAGTGTATAATATAAATATAAAGTATAATATAAAGTATAATATTATGCGGCCCAGCCTCACCCAGACTCTGCCTCCAGCGGCCCCCAGGTAAATTGTGCTTGGAGACCCCTGCCTTAACTATTAAACTACACCAGCTCAACAAAATTCATCATTTTGAAGGCATTTCTGAGTTTCATTATTATGTCCACCATTCCATTGCTGTCAGCATATATCATTAAGTCGTTTTTTTCTTCTTTAATTTATTGTGCTATTCCTGATCAGTTTATTTTCCATTCTTACTGTAATTCACCTGCCCTTCTTGTGCAATTCACAACTTCCCCCATATTGTGTAGTGTCTTTGATACTTCAGCATGACCACGTCTCCAAGAAAAAAAAAATTCCAAAAAAAATAAAAAAATAAAAAGTTTTTACGAACCAATCAGGAATATCTTTAAAACCGAGTCCATCGCAAGCCCTTGAACGTTTACTGCATTGCAACCCCACCAAGGCAGGGCGAAAAGGAGACGCCAGATAGAAGTGAAAGCCCCACTAAATACCAGTCCAGCTTGGAAGCGGTCCTTATGCGGAGGGTCCAGCTAAGTCCAACCGCGACCCTCCCCCGGCGGCCGCTCGAGCCGTGAGGGGCCACGCACATCCTTCGGGATTTCTCCCCGGCCGTCGTCCCCTCACCCCCCTCGCCCGTCCCTATGGGGCCCGCTGGAAGCCGGCGAGGCAGGGCAGGGGAAGCGGTTGGCCTTCCTGAACCATACCCTTCGCCCTCTGACCGCCCGAGGAAAAGAGGCGGCGCCGCTCACTCGCTCCCACTCAGCGGCGCCCGTTTAGGAAACATGGGGAAGGCGGAAGTGGGGCCTTGGCTCGGCGGCTGGAGCGTTTCGGCCGAAGGAAGGGAGGCGGCTGGGCGACCGCGCTGCTGAGCCTCCGCATGACATGCCCTTTTCCCGAGGCGTTCATTCTCACGCCGCCCCCCCCTTTTTTTCCAACCACGGGGATACCGAAGGACACTCCCCCCCACCTCCAGAAAAGCCGTTACCGGGGAAGGGCGGCCCGGCGGAACGGGTCCAGTTTACCTCGGCAGGAGCTGATTCCGTGTCTTCGGCAGAATCAAACTCTTGCCCGACACCCGCTTCCCCGTCCCCACCATCCCGCTCGCGTTGTTAAGAGGTGTAGGTTGCTTTGCCAGCAGGATTTGCCGGAGAGGATGCAGAGGAATCTTAACGGGTGTTAGGCAGGGCAAGTGCCAAATTGTACAGGGGAGGGAGAGGTTTTTATTTTATTTTATTTAAAGCCCGTTAGTCTCCGGTCGGCCTTGGGTGGGAGTGAAAATCCGGTGGGTAGAGGATAAAATCAAATATATATTGTCTGGAAGTATGGAAGAGCAGAACTATCTCTAGGATTACAGAGGTATGCTGGAAATTAACATTTGGAGAAAAGAATCTGAAGGGACGGTCAGCTAGGTTAGGGAACCTGGCCCATTTTGTTTAATGCTGCTGAATGAATAAGAATCTCAAAAATGAGAGTTGCTTAGTTTTCTGAAAGGCTCTGTCAGGCTTCCCCGTTGTGAAAAATACCTTCTGACCCAGTGTTTTATTTCTGTGGCTATTGTTACTCAAAATTTCTCCCCCACCCCTTTGTTACTATGTTGTCAGAGCAAGCTCAAAAGTGGTTCCCAACTCATGTGCAGGTCACAGTCCTTCAGGCCAAAGGTCTCAAGCCAAAGGGCAAAAGTGGCACTAATGATACATACACTATCATACAATTGGGAAAAGAGAAATACTCCACTTCGGTGGCAGAGAAGACCCTTGATCCAATATGGAAAGAAGAAGCTTCGTTTGAGCTGCCTGGATTGCTGATGGAAGGGAACTCTGAAAAATACGTTCTCTACCTGATAGTCATGCACAGGTCTCTTGTTGGCCTTGATAAGTTTCTGGGACAAGTGGCAATTAATCTAAATGATATCTTTGAAGACAAACTGAGAAGGAAAACAGAGTAAGTGTTATTTTTATATGTCTTGTGTTGGAAATGTAATCTTTGCAGGTGTTGCAAATCTCTGGTTTTAGGAGATAGAGCCAAACCCTGGCTTCCATAATCTTCCAGTGCTCTTGTTGACTAGGGCTAATGGGTATTAATAAGTACCAACTTTAAAGGTCACATGTTCTCCAATCCTTTTTTAAAAGGTTACCTTAAAATCTCCACAAATTGTTCACATAACTACCTCATAAGTACAATTAGTATGAAGTTAAAGTCAATGAGAATTTATACGCTTGCTCATAAGAGCCATAGTTCATTGCTCATACGTAGTTGAAAACGTTTCCCCCCCAATTTGATGGGATCAACCATGAATTGTGGATTATGCACTAGTAACCAAAAGAGAGTGAAATCAATATGGATTTTTTGGATTATTTTATTTTGAAAATATGTCTTGTAAATTTTGGCTTATATTGTAACTTGATCTACGTTGAATATATACAAGCAATGGTGGAGTAGTCTGGGAACAAGAACTTTGATTTTTGGATTGATGATTTGAGAGATGTGGTACTTTCTTGTCTGATTTATTGATTGGAAGATGTATGGCTTGAAATCAGAGCCTATGAACTTCTACTGATGTTCTCCACAGTGTAACATTCCTGATTCTGAGAATATGCTGTATCTTTGGAGATATGTTGCTTCTTTTTTTTTCTACTCATGTTACATGATGTCCTGTTATTCCATACACAGTACAATATGTGTATGTGTGTGTATGTGCACAAAAATGTTCTTGGATGTGATATTTTGGGAAATACAGGTACGGTATTCTTGGATGTGATATTGATTTCATTATATTTATATCTGTACTTTATATTTCCACATTTTTTCTAATAGTGCAAGACAGTTTTATGCCTATAAGAAAAAACCTATGTGAGAGGTTTGGTTTAGAGTAACAATGAGCTCTTTGGTTGAATGGAAATCTCACAGAATAAAACCACCATTTCAACTCCTATTAATAAACATTATTATGTTTACTACATGGATGTGATAATGGAACCATCCATACAGCTTTTATTTTATTGAATTGAGATATATTTAATTTTCTAATTTTTCAGAATATGGAAAACAACACTTGGAAGCATTCCTTTTGAAATGTTTACAGTTTCTTATTAGATGTTTGTCCCAAGTATCAATTATCCTCCTAAATGGCCACTTAGTTGGAAAGCAGTGTCTATGTTTTCAGCTGCAGTATTGAAGTAGAGTATTGTATATTGAAAAAAAAAAACCTTGGGAATGAAGTTTCACAGATTTTATCACAAACCATTTTTATTTATTTTTAATGTGTAATAGTAAATATTTAAATTCTGAAACAAAGGAGTTTTCCCCCTTTCCATTCACTTTTGTCCAGTTCTTTGAGACTGCCTGGAAAAATCCCTGCAGTTTTTCTTGACTAGGTTTAGTGGTTTGCCATTGCCTCCTTTCTGGACCAGAGAGAAAGAAACTGGCCAAGGTTCCCTAGCTGGTTTTGTGCCCAAGGTGCAACTAAAACACATAGCCTCCCAGTTTCTATCCTATTGCCTAATTATCTCAAATGTATCATACTGTAGTTAATTTTTGAGTTTTGTTATAAAGAGATTTTAAGATTGTTATCTAGGAAGAATCTATTTACATATTCAGGGAGGATAGAATATTTTACAAATATTTCTTAAATATCTTCATTTGACAATTAAAACATTTTTGACCAGCCTTATTGTATTGCATTGTCTCCTTTATTCCCCACCATTTGGAAGTCAGGATTAAGGTAAAATTGATATTAGAATATTAAATGATAAACTGCACAATATTTGTATACCCCAATTTTGGAATTAATATACTCACTTCAGTCCTTACATAGCATGCATTTAAATAGAATTATGTCTTTAAAAGAGGTATTATATTTCACCTTAATATTCAGGAGGAATAGTGATATTATTTGGCCAATCAATTCTAATGATATGATATACCAATTATTTTGTTTGTACATTTATTTTTTCTGCAATGTGTTCATATCTTTTAAGTAGAGACTGTGGCCTAACTGAACAGTTATTTTTTTTGCACAACATTTATGTCAAGTTTATAACATTTTTATGTTATAAACAATACAGTATATCTGATCTTCTGTCTGACTGTGCCATGTGTCATAGTTGAATTGTAGTGGCAGATACACAGAACATCATTAACAGACAGAATCTATTTAGCATGTTCACTCAAGATAACAAACCTAATGGTTCAGTTGTGTTTTCCTCCATAAATCTACTAGCATTGGAATGTGCAATATTTATGTAGTTTGAAATAATTCAGAAGAGTTAAATATAGCATATGAATGATTTTATGCCTAGTTTACTCTTTGCACATGTTGCTTTTCTTTGGTATTAGCAAAGAAAGGCACAGCCTTCTGATAATTCTAAATTAGTCAGAAGTAGGCAGGTAGAAGTAGGTAGATTCATTTAAGTAAGATTTACATATCAAATATGAATATAGATAGGACTGCAGTCCAAACATGTAGTCTGAATGTAATAGTATTAAGATTTTTTTGGTAAATGTTTATTATATAATGAATATATTTGCTCCCTAATCCAAACATATTTTTAATTTAGGAAGCATATCAATGTAAAAGGATATATTTTTCTAGACAGAAAAAGTGCCAGTATACAGTATGTTTATGGCATTGAATGTAAGAAGCATTTCTTGTATATGTGCTATTATGTTTCGCCAGGGACAAACTGTTCACTTCATTTTTACTTTAACACATGGTCAGTTATTATATTTTTTAATAGTTTCAAATTATATTATGCTATGCATTCCATAATAACACTTTTTCACTCATTTGGTGAAGCTAGAAAGGCCATTTATCACCTTCTCTTGCAATTCCCTGTGGTTTGTGATATTCTCCACTCTTAAAAATAAAACTCTACATTCTTTAAGGTTGTACTTCATAACACAAAGTGAAACAGATGCAAAGATAGAGAAATAAAAATTAAAAAAATAGCATACAGTCTGTTCATTTTTTTGAAAGAGTTCCTCTTCCATCTGTTGTATTGGGCTAAGATACTAAGTTAACCCAGTGTAGACATTTGGAACATACAAACTGTAAGGGTTGGAGTTCTACATCAGATCCAAATTTCTTGAAGTGAGAAAACTTACTTGGGTTTGGAGTATAGTCTGTTTTTCTGGCCAATGTGTACAGTATTAGATTTTGCTTACCGGCCTTGATGTAAGCCTTCTTGCTCACAACTTGGTTGTGGGAAGTTCATAGAAAGTTGCCTTATCTGACAACCATGGGATTAGTTTAATGACTACATTGCTTAGTGATGGAAATTCCAGTCCCAATTGCTGTTAAAAATCCAGGGTTACATCTATATATTAAAACAATGGAAGCTTCTTTCTGCATTTCCAACACAAGTATTGGGCTAGTCCACCTTAGCATAAATGGATGGCTTTTTTGGGGTGGGTGGAGGGTGGGTGGGTATTATCATTATGGTTATCATTGTTTTCTAAAAATGTCATATCTATATTTTGCATTTTATTTTGCATAGGCACCGTTGTTTTGTTATATCTTCAGTGTTTGTGTTGCTAGAAGTAATAAAACTTCAGTGCATTATAACTATAATTGTGATATAGAAATACATACCAATTTTGTGTGGTTATATATTATCATCCAAAATTCATGGTGGACAAAACTAGGTTATCACCAAAATTTCATCATTATCCCATTTGGCGATTTGTGATTGAGATGGTAGAAAGAAGATACGTTTTTTCTAAGCTTTTCAAAGATAAAATTGTATATTATATATGAACAAATACAGTAGCTTTACAAATAAGCTGTCCTCTGGTCCAATACTTTAAATGTAAAATATAGGTACTAATCAATTCTGAAGAATGAGCTATGGTGTCTAATAATATAATGCTGACTTTTTTCCAGATGAATAATAAATATAAATTGTATAAAATATAAATAATGTTTCTTTACCTTCATATACTTTGAGCAAATTTGGAGCATTTTATCTAAAATAATTCTTCAATGATGATGTAAATTTAACATGACTTAGTTTTGGAATAAATGAAATCCAAGTATTTGATTATTTTTATTAGTAATTCTTTTAGTTTTCATATAGTTAATAGATTCCTTTTTCCAACACACTATATGTATGGTTTTCTAAAAAACAGACTTCAGAATCATGTTTGCACATGTTTCTTTTTGGAAAAGGATAGATAACAGTTGATCTAGAATTCTAGGAAGACCGCACAACTAGCAACTTGTTCAATTTTCTTTTTATCAGAGAAAGTTGTGTTGCCAGGCATTGTGACTTTAAAAATATATCAACCCCCAAACCCAAGGCATAAATATTAACTTTATTTAAATTGCTGTTAGTAATGGCTTAAGCATATTTCTTTAAAAATAATACAAGTGATGAAGCTTAACCTTATCTATAGCAAAATACAATATATTCACTTTGGCAGAAGACCCAAGGATTATTTGGTGGTTTCTTTTATGAGTATGAATATTATGAGTATGAATAAATTTCAGCTGTTGGGGAAAGAATTGCTGCTTCAGATTTGGAACAAGTGTAATTTACAGCTCTTGGATTATTAAATCATGAACACCTGAAATAGTTGTGTTGCTTTCTTTTTTGACTACCCAACATTGTAAGGCATGACAATTTGAGGGACTTAAGGCCTTTTCATTATTTAGCTAATACTTGGAGGCCAACTCTGATCTGCTTTGAGCCTTTGGTGCACTTATTCTTTCCCTTAACACAGAATAAAATAAAGAATGAATAATTATTTTTGTTTAGATCAGTGGTAGTCAACCTGGTCCCTACCGCCCACTAGTGGGCGTGCCAGCTTTCATGGTAGGGGTTTTGTCCCCTATTTTATAAATCACCATTACTGTGGAACCGGTGGGCGGTTAGAGAAAACTTCACTACTAACAGAGATACAAAAGTGGGCGGTAGGTATAAAAAGGTTGACTACCCCTGGTTTAGATGGTCAAAAAAAAAACACATTAAAGCTGTAATTCTATCCTCATAGAACTTCCATTAATAGGCTTTATTTTTAATTAGAGAGGGATGTGGCTATACTATTAAGATGATCTTAGAAATTTGGAAGATTGGGGAGGGGTAGTGTGAATGTTTACTCGTGTATAAATTTGTAAATGTAAAATCACATTTCTTTCTGGCCAAAGGTGGGCATTTTTAATTGTATTTATTTATTGAAAAGTAGCCATTTCCATTCAAACTATTGAAACTTTCATTAATTTAGTTTGTAACAGTACCATAGAAACAATAAACAAAAGTATTGAATTACTACAGCTTTGGTTGGTTATGATTTATTTCCTAATCCAAATTTTGGAATAATTTCATATCATAATTAGTATCTAAATTAATAAGACTTTTATACCTTTATACAGAGGAATGCTTCAAATGGAAGCATAGTTTTTTATTCTGACCTTCACAGTAAAAATATAAGTGTATATTTTCTCAAACGTTATGATTCTCCATTCACTACATAATCCAATTGCACAAACATTTTTAACAAAGTACACATAACATGAAATGCTAATGTCACAGCATAGAAAGCTATAGTATGTCACAAAAATTAATGTCTACAGGCAGTTCTCAAATCACAACAATAATTGAGCCCAGAATTATAAGTTGTTGCAATCATTAATTAAGACATTGCATCACTAGGCCCAATTTTTCAGAATTTCCCAATCCATTTATCCAATGGGCATTTTTTGCCTGCAATTGGAAGTAAACACTGGAAACAAGCAAAAAATATCAAAAATTATGGTCATATGACTGCAGGATACTCTAAATAGCCATAAAGGTGAACAGCTACCAAAATGCAACCAAATGATTGCGAGGGTGTATACCGTCATTGTAATTTTGAAATCAGTATTTAAGTAGCTTTTGAGGGACTTCTGTTGTAACTTTGAATGGTCAGTAAGCAATCAGTTGCAAGTTGAGGATTACCTATGCATATCATTGAATATTACATATTAAAAAAAATGTTTACATCCATATAAATAAGTTCATGTGTGAGGTTTTGTTCCTGAAAGGAACTGATGCCATTTGACTGATCTTTAGGTGGGACATGAATTAATCTGTGTCAGAGTAGAATTGATTTAAATCAAGATTTTTTTAAAAAAAAATTATTCTAGAAAAAACATTTATTTGACTTACATTTAAAACAGACAAACCAACAGATTATATATATATATATATATCTGTGCTTAAAACATATATATATATATAAAACATATATATATATAAAACATATATATATATATAAAACACACACACACACACACACACACACACATATATACACACACACACACACATACATACATACATACATTTTACAGCATATATTGAGCAATGGTTAATTTTTTTTCTTTATCTTTATCATTGACGTAATCTGCCTTGTTACAATAACTCCTTCGTTCTTTTAATGTTTTAATTTTTCTATATAGTTTGTGATTAAATGCACGTCTTCTGTCATTTCCATAACTTATCCAAATATCAAATATTACCTTTTCTCTAACCACTCATACAAAATCTTGTTTATTTTTTAACAGTTTGGTTAGGCTATCCATCTCAGCGCATTCATGTATTTTTTTAATCACCATATCCTCTGAAGGAATGGAAGACAGTTTCCAGTTTTGTGCGTAGGTTATTCTAGCCACAGTTATGATATGCAAAATTAAATAGTGATATTTTTTCTCCATGTTTGAATCTATCATACTTAGCAGAAAGGTTTCGGGTTCAAGTTTTAAATTTTGTTTTGTTATATTTAAAATCCACTTTCTAATATTTCTCTGACATTTCTGAGCACATGGGCAAGCCCACCACATGTGAAAATATGTTCCTTGTGAGTAGTTACATTTCCAACAATTGGGTGGTAGGTTGAGGAACATCTTAGCCAGTCTCACAGGAGGAAGGAGGAAGGTGCCAGCGATGAACCATTTTATATGTTTTCTTTATACGAGACTGACATGGTTAATTTGTAATTTGTTTGCCAAATGTATTCCCATTTATCTAATTCAATACTATGACCCACCATCAATTTTTATCTACCCTGATTTCTGTATGCTTATAAGGTAAGCAATCTGTATTTTGAATGCCCAAAGAGGACTAAGCATTATCACACTTTTATTGCAAGACATCTCTTATGAGGTTTCCTTTAAAGAAAACATGCTAGCTGCGGTAAATGTGAAATATACCATGTATAACACAAGTTTTAAAATAATTTTTGTGTTTTAATTTACTGAATGTGTGAAACCAGTAAAATATTAATCAGTAGAATAGCCTGCTTGCTGGGATTGTGGGTACTCCATAATTGGAGATTTTCAAGAACAGACTGGACAACTATTTGACTGGTTGCTGGTATAAGGGTCCTGCCTTGAGCAGGGAGGGTTGAGCAGGGAGGGGGTTGGACTAGAAGTCCTCTGAGGTCCCTTCCACCTCTGATTCTATAAGGTTTGTTCCATCGGTGGTATTCAGCAGGTTCTGATCAGTTCTGGAGAACCAGTAGTGGAAATTTTGAGTAGTTTAGAGAACTGGCAAAAAGCACCTCTGACTGGCCCTGCCCCCATCTATTCTCTCCTTCCCGAGTCCCAGCTGGTCGGCTGGGTCTTCTTTTGTTGTCCTGCACAGGAGAATGAAACTAGAAAAGAGGTTAGTGGCCACGCCCACAGAACCGGTAGTAAAATAAATTGAATCCCACCACTAGTTTGTTCCTTAACAGCATATTGGTGAACAAATTATATTCAGGTTATTTTAACTTGATTTTACAGACCTTGGGACTCCCTGTCCATATTGAGGAATCTTTTTTCCTCAATAAGAAAAAGAATATTGAGAAGAGTCCTTGGAAATAGAAATAAACACAGCAATAGGCAAACTGGATTTCATTCCCCTCTAAAATTCAGTGGCAGAATAACCAGGTTTTGGTGGCATGATTTTTATTCCTATTCAGAAATAAGGATGGGGATGGCACAGGCTCTAGGAAGCAAATCTGTAGTGTTGCCAATTTTGGATGTCACTTTTTGGGATGTCACTTTGATTTCCTTAATAAACCAAAAGGAAATTCAGTCCCATACTGTCAATGACATACTTTTTCCATAACTGTACCTGCAACCTTCAAACTGTTTGGGTGAGTTTTCATCCCTACTCAAAGAGAAAAGAGAACAACCACAACTTAAGAACAGTGTGAAATAGCTCAGCATATCCAAACATTGCATCCTTTTGAGATGACATATATCGAAAGAATGAAAATTTGTCATAAGAGTAGAATGCTGAAATTAAATAGGATACTGAAAATTAGAAGAAAAACCTATCAAGTAGTTTTGAAAGACACAGTTTAGTCTGTCTTTCTGTGCTTAAAATCATGCAAGACTACATGTCAAGTTTACTTATTGAACCTAGTTATTATTTGTAATATTGTAGTGTACTTTATAAAAGATGTGGATAATATACTTAGCCTCAACATTAGATAATATACTGAACCTAGTTATTATTTGTAATACTGTAGTGTACTTTTTAAAAAATGTGGATAATATACTTAGCCTCAACATTGACATTTAATGTAGGGTTTTGGTTTTTTTTGCACTTTCACAAAAGCTATTGTTATAGTGATTAAATCTATAAACTTCTTTCAAGTATTTTATGAACTAAGAACATCATTTTGGGTTGTTACTCTTTCAGTGTAGACACTATTCCCCAAATAAAATACAGGAATAATATTTTAAGTTTATTACTATGAATTATATAAATAGTGGAAATTATTATTTTTAATTTAATATTGAATAGCAAGAACTTATATATGAAATTATGGGATCTGATCTTGAATTAGGTACAGAAACACCTGACTCAAAAATTGTATGATGGCAGGAACAAGATGCTTAAAACATATATGGTTCATATGGCTTGAACTGTGTTGGCTACTGGTATTTTTCTGTTCAAAGCACTTTTACTAAGTGATCAAGAATGGTGGGCTTTCTCTGTTGCCCTACTGAGAAAGTTGTGTGTAAATGTTTATTTTAAGTCTTCTAAGTGACATTTGGTTTCTCTACTTCAGTTTCAGTTTTGAAACTCATTTTAATACATTTTAAGTGCTACAATTTCTTGAAGTTTAATTAATATTGGTTTATTATATAGGATTCTGATTAAATTAGGCACGTTTATTCTTCTAACACTTATTCTAAAATTTGACCATGGAATACTTTTTGAAATAAATAGATTTAAAATTGTAAAGCAACCTCCCTGACATGTGTCTGTATTTACTTTTTGCAATCTTACATAAGATAGATGAAATGGCATCATATGATTCTAAGGCATGCTTATGCAACTAACAGCATACTATCTTTTTTTTAAGATGGTTTACTCTCGAGTCCAAGCAAGGAAAACGAACTAAAGACAGAGGCGAGATAAAAGTCAACATTCAATTTATGAGAAACAACATGACAGCAAGCATGTTTGACTTGTCAGTTAAGGACAAAACCAAATCTCCTTTTGCTAAATTAAAGGACAAAATGAAGGGTCGTAAGACAGATGGAACATTTTTGGATACATCTTCAGCAATCATTCCAAGTACTAATACCCCAGAAACTAACACTATAACATCCCTCAATGAATTGCAGTTAAAATCAAAGCCAAAAAAGCCTTTTCTTTTGGGACCTCAACGACTCTCTTTGGCTCACTCAATGTCTGATCTAACTGGACCTCAGATAATTTCAGATAAAATTAAATCGGAAACAATTGGCAACTCTTACCTCTTCAGACGTCAGCTTGAGTCTGTTGGTTCTGAGGATGAAGGTGGTAAGTACAGATATCTTAAAAGGCAAACTATTTGAAAAGGCCTTCTAGTAGAATTATTCCAAATCCCATATCTTTATGCTCTTATTCCTAAGAAAAATGTAGGTGCTAAGAATTTGAGATACAATGGAAATCAAATGAAGAATAGAATGCTTCATCAATAATTTGTTTTAATAAGTTATAATTCTTATTACTTTATTACTTATTACTATATTCAGTTTCATTTCACTGTAATTTGTTTTAGAAATAGATTTGGTGTATACAAAAGTCCAAAGTTCCAGGTTTCAAATGTTTTTATCTTGAAACAGACATTCTGCACCTTCCATGATTGAAATGAGAGTTTTGTTTCAAGCTTGACAGTTTTGAGTGTTTTGTGCTGTTCCGTATGCTGTGATGAAACATGTTTTCTTGCAGTTGACTTTTCCCAGATGTTGTATCCTAGCCACTACAGCAGGTGGGACTGATTTACTGAGCTTCTGGGTGGAATGGTGCAAAATGTGTATAGTCTTGACATTAAGATACATAGTTACATACAAAGATAACAAATCAAAATAGGACAAGTATTTTCAATTAAAGTTGAAAATACTTGTCCTATTTTGATTTGTTATCTTTGTATTCTCTATGATGCTGTGATCTGTACTCTTTAGAATTCATTTCAATACAACTTTTAATGACTTCTAGAATTTAGTTGTATTACTGGATGTCCTTAGGTTGTTACGTTTTACTCTTAACTCATGCAAGAATTAGGAGAAACATTTTGTTCCTACAACATATAATTCCTTTTTCCTGGATTTGTGCAAAACTTGTATTTGATTTTGTTAATAATAGAAACAAACATGGACTTGTGCTTGAACCTGATTTTTGTTGATTGTTTATTTTTTTTTCTTCAAATACCAAAATAATTTCTATAGGAATTTTTTAATGTTTAAATTAAATTGTGGCCAATTTTGCAGCAGGTTGGATGGCACATAGCAATCAACAAATGAGTTAATATTTCAACTACTCCTCTGGCTCTTGGAGGAAAACACAGAGCAAGGCAGTTCTGTTGAATTCCCATTACTTTCTCTGATTAAATCTTTTAAGTAGTGGAACATAGTCATTTCAGTTGGAATGTTTCTATTTAACTGTTTTGTTCCAAGCTTGAAACAAAATCTGTTCTTCATATTATGTATATTCATATTATACCCCATCCTTAAACTAGAAATTTTCAGATTGGATCATACATTATTAAAATACAAAAACAATAACAGTGAAAAATTTTTAAACATTCAAATCAGTTAGAAAGACCCAGGTAAACAAAATAGTGTAGCATGTATAAAGCCTATTAGCTAGTTAACATTGACTCTTCCCAGTGAAGTAAGGATTACAATTTGTTCAGATCATTGTATATATGAATGTACAATGTTATAATAAAATGTTTATAGTATTCTGATCAATTTGTCCTTGTGCAGGAATTATTAAAGTATTCAAAATTACAGGGTAATATAAGCTACTTTAGTTTAGTTTTAATTGTAAATTGCCTCTCTTGAAGTAGTTTTGAGTGTAAACGTGGGCTACAAACTGCGAAAATAAATGGCACTATTTTCCTCCACCCTGGTCACTCTCTATGTATAGAAAACTTTTAGTATAGTGGTGCATTTTTGATATCCTTAGAAGTTCTTCAGATGATTATAGTTCTTGTAGGATGTAATATTGGTTGGAATCAACTTTTATTTTAACTTATTGCAAATAGTCATATAATATTTTACATTTGAGTCCAGTTGCATACTAATAACATTATTTTCAGGAAATCTAAAGTCTCCACAGAGACGGACACTAAGTGCAGATACCACTAAAGTGAGTCAACTGGACAACACAGGTGATGACAGTGACTCAGCTTTTATAGCTCAAGATCCTTTTATAAATGTGAGCGCTTCATTGCCTCAAAAGTTTGCCACGTTGCCAAGACAGAAGAATCCATTTGAAGAAAATCCTTTATCATGGGGACACAATGTGGGCTTATTTTCAAAATCAGCTGAAATAAAAAAAGAGAATAAGAAAGAGAAAAAGGAGAAGGTTAGTCTCTTTGAAAGAGTGACTGGAAAGAAAGAAGGCAAACGATCAGATAGACTTAGTAATGGGGGATCAGAAGGCTCCTCTGATTTGAAATCACCCAGTCCTTTTGCTGAAAGTCATCAGGACAGCTTTGATTTTGATTCCACTAATCCCTTTACTACAAACTTCAAGCCAAAAAATATGCTGCTATCTAGGTAAGTTCCTTGGTTAGATATTTTGAAGTTGATGTTTTTTATTATAATGTATTTGTTATATTTGTTCAATGAGAACATTATTTAATTTTAAAAAATAAACATTACAGTCCTGGATTGATATTTCAGTGCTGTGAAGTAACTAGCTTAGGTGGGTATTGTGGAACAATTCTGTCTGTATCAAACAGTTTTGCCATTCTATTATATAAAATATGTCTAGGCAGTTGAACACAAGTATGTGTGTTTGGGGAACCCAACTACACGTTCAAATTTTTTAAATGATTGAAATGCATTTATTTCCTTAGAAGACATCTCACTTTTGAAAGTGATTTTGAAGCATTGCACAACCTTTATAGACTCAGTGTGTCCTTTAGGTACCTGGTGCTAAATAGTAATGGACTTTTTTTTTTTTTAAAGGCAGATTAAATAGAGTTTAGAAATGTACTGAGAGCCATAAAATTGGCATATAATCTGTGTTATATTCTATTATCTCAATGGTAAAATTGGTATTTTTAGCTGTAGTTAGTATGCAGGTAGTCCTTGACTTGTAATCTCAATTGAACCCAACAATTCTGTCATTAAGTGAGACAGTGAGGTTTGTCCATTTTACAAGCTTTTTTACCACAGTTGTTAAGTGAATTACTGTAGTTGTTAAGTTAGTAACACAATTGTTATGTGAACCTGGCTTCCCCATTTACTTTGTTTGTCAGAAGCTTGCAAAGGGTGATCACATGACTTCAGGATACTGCAACTGTTATAAATACATGCCAGTTGCCAAGCATCCAAATTTTGATCATATGACCATAGAAATGCTGCAATGATTGTAAGTGTGAAAAACGATCATAAGTTTTTTAATGTGCTGTTACAACTTCAAATGGTCACTAAACAAATGGTTGTAAGTCAAAAACTAATGTATTGAAGTTAGGTGTAATCAAAATTTCCAGATTGACTTAAAAGAAAATTGCATATCATTTTGAAGAATAATTTTATTTATTCAGTTATTTATTTATTAAGTTATTTATACTGAAGTCAGTTTACTGCTATTGAGATTTGTTTTTCCATACCTTCCTTAAAGAAAGTCTTTGTAAGAAGTAATAACTTAATTGACTTTTTGTACACATTGATATAGAATCTATAGCTCAAATGACTAATTCTTTGAAAAACCTACATGAGGTCGTATTGTCCCTTAAGAACAATAGAGTTAATGTTTTGTAATCCCAATTACACTTTTCAAAGTTTTCTCTTTAAAGTTCCTTGATCACTTTTATTATATTAGGCTAATGGCACTATTCATCATAGTAGCTATCTAGGTGTTAATGTGTAGCTCTCATAGCAGTCCTGTGCACGGAACATACAGTATTTAAGAACAAATTTCAACTAAAATATTGGTTTTCCAGGATATAGATAACTCTGTGTGCAACATTTTAATAAAAAATGTTTGTTTTTATGCTACACTACAGTAGGCTAATATACTAATGTGAAAATTTCTCAATTTACAGCACTTGACAGGTGTTAAAACAAAAGCATCTTTAATTTTAATGTGTTGTTAGGCCCTCTTTAGAGGGACTGTATAAGTTATTAACAAGGTCCTCTGAGACAGGAGACAGGTAATTAACAAGACCTAGAGAAAGAGAAATTTGGATAATTAATGAGCTCTTAGGCACTGGACACAGGGTAACAAATAGTCCAGTAGTTAAAGGCGACAGGTTGTTACTAACATGATTGAATGCCAGGTTTGAGAATGTGATTAGATAGGTGTCTCAATGAAGTGTCTAATTAGATTATTATGTTGATTTGGTCAGATGTTTAGACTGGATTTCACATTTTTATCTAACAAGTCCTTTCCAGGGACCTGGAATATTGCGATTTGATGATGTTAAATGTATTGTTAAATGTATTTTGTCAATACTAATGGTATTCAGATGTTTTGGGATTACACCCAAGGCACCTATTACTATTGGCCCTATCTTTGCTTTCTTTTGCTACCGTTGTTTCTCTTCTATGTGCAGGTCTTTGTATTTTGTTATTTTCTCCAGTTCTTTCTCTTCTATTTTCATTGTTGTTTAGAGAGCTTCCATCATTTCTACTTTGGTTCCTTTCCAATGTGGCTTATAATTTCTAGCTATGCATTACAAATAGTTGGAAGATTTCTCAGATCATATAGTCTATCTTTCTGCTTGGTAAAGGTTCTACTAACTAAAGCATATCAGACAAATGTTTGTCCAGCCTCAGTTTGAAGATCTTTAGTGAAGGAGAACCTACCACTTCATGAGACAATCTCTTTCATTGGTTGAAGTAAAAGGGACACCTATCTTCTGAAGGTTAATGGACCAAATCTTCCCTGATCAACTAAAATGATGTGAGACTTACTTAAATGATATCATTGTCTATAGCGAAAACTGGGAAAACCATTTAATGCAGGGGTGTCAAACTGGATTTCTTGAAGGGCTGGATCAGCATTGTAGTTCTCTGCGGGCTGGCGGTGGAGGGAGGATGGATGCCTCCTATAGCACCTTGCCAGCCGAAAACAGGCCACGTGGCTGTTTTCAGCCATTTTTGGCCCATTTTTCAGCCCGGTTTTTGGCCCTGTTTCAGCTGACAGAATGCTGCAGGAAGGTAAAAACAAGGTGAGGAGGGCTTTTAGTGCGGCTTGGCTCTGAGTAAATGGATGGCTATCATTTATTAGGATATCTATCTATAAATAGATAGTGCTGTTTAGAAAAAAATGTCTGATTTTCAAAAATCTGGGGGAAGGATGATGTATGGAAAAAAAGAGCAACCGTTATTTTTGAAATATCACATGCATCTAAATATTTATTATATAATGTATATTTTTATTACTTCCATAGTCTTAATGTGAATTCTGAAAACTCTGAAGAATTTCAAAAAACAATGGTAAGTAACTACTTGATTGATGTTCCATTTGATATTTGAGAAAGGATATCTGCTGTAAGCTTTGTTGTTTAAAACTTTGTTGTTTTTAGCTGACTGATTGAACCCTAATTTGCAGGTTTTCTTTCCTGAATTAATCCAGAACCCTATCTAGTCCAATATGTTGATTTCCTTCTTGAAATTGACAATTCAGAAACAAGTTGTCTTTTCTTGTTGATTGTTTTGACATGAGATATATTATCCACAGTAGATGTGATTAATAATTTAAAGGTATAAATAGCCTGTTCTTCATGAATGTGTGGTAAGTGGTTTCATATTAAAAGTTTGGGTGAAAAGCAGAATCATGCAGTCTAATCCCATACCTGATATGCATAAGAAGGGATTGTGCATCCATACTTACATATTTTCTTAATGTTTTTAAGTACACAGGGAATAACAATTGACTTAAACTTCCTAACATAAAAAAGTGCACAGTATGAATTTGTACCAACATCAATATAGACTGTTTCTCACATTGCTTGAATATGTAAATGGGTCATATGATTGACCTGCATAGACACAGTGCTATTTAAGATGGGCAACCTTTTAATGGTTGGAGGCAGCACTTTTTTCTAGAAATAAAGACTATAGTGGATGGAACAATGATGGACAATAGAAACAACCAAATACCACATTTGACTGGGGGTAGGATTTAATCACTTTCCCTTTTTGTTTTGGGGAGAGTTTAACTTCTTTTGATTGTTTTTACGCTTTTTAAAATAATCTTCTGCCTTAAAATGGGAATAAATTGTTTTATCAGTTTTAAGCATTTGCAGTATATGATGTTATGGCAACTACCCAAAAAATGTGCAAGGGTCATAGCTGCCTATCCTTACTCTATGTTAAAGAAAAATTAATTATCTAACTTTATTTATGTTGCTGTATATTTCTCGCAAGTTTCTTGCTTTCTAATCTGAAGAGATTAACCCCCCTCGGCCTCTATTTATATTGAATGGATTCATACATTTTCAACTATATTACCTGTTGTTTTTCACTTTGGTTATATATTTTTAATTAGATGACTAGATACATAATAATACTTTTTCACACAAGCTTGTCATTTTGATGGAAATATGAACTTTTATTCATTAAACTCATTGGAATATATATTTTAAGAAGGAAATATATTGGAAGGTAACAGAAATACTGGAAGATGACAATGCATGAGGACTTTTGAACCTGTTCCCTAATCCCTTTTCATCCTTTTGCTTTTTGTTTATTCGAAGATAATATACTCAATTATTATTTGCTAAATCCAAGTCCTATGGGTCTTTTTAAGTGGTTTAGGAAAGTTAATCCAAATGTGAATTCTAGATTGATTAATAAATATTACAAGATGATAATCAAGAAACATTTATTTATTTATTAAAAATAAACTCAATCATAAAAGACTCCCAGTAGGGCACAAAGAGCAACAGCGACAAACCAGAATGAAAAAAGAAATGTAATTTAGAATTACAGGGAAAAAAATTGCAGGTAGTACTCACTTTGCAACCCAATTGAGACTGGAATTTCCCTTTCTAGGTGATATGGTAATTAGGTGAAACAGCATTAGTGACAACAGTTTTGGTAGTCTGTTTTGCTGTCACTAAGCTAGGACTGGGCTGTAGTTAGGCAAGGTTTTCACACTTCTCCTACCCTGCCAGCACCCTTCTACTTCAATTCATCCTTTCTTTCCCCAATATTTCTGCTCTTTTGATCTCACTTCACTCTGACACCTCCACTGCCCTTGCCAACCTGGGCATTTGTATCTTATCAGCAATGGGAGGAAGAAGACAACAGATTGACTCAAGTCAGAGATTGGGAAAGGAGATAGATGGCTAAGGAAGTTGAAACACGGCTTATATTTGTAAATGTGGGCAGGTTGCGATCAACAGCCATCATCATTTTGAATAGTCACTGAATGAATGGTTAAGCAAAGACTACCTGTGCATATCAAAACATCTATCTTTGATGAGTCCCACCCAAGAAGGTCACAAGAGATAGAGCAACCCTAAAGATGTTGGTCATGCTGTTCCACTGGAAGGAGTCCTTATTGAGAATAATTGCTTTCAGGCCTTCTCCAATTATACTTAAGTGCAATTTGTCGGCTAGTTATGATAATCCATCTGGTGGTGATGCTGTCTATTCCCATTTTTCTATCTTACCAAGAAGTAGGTTAGACATTTGATATTTGGCACTCTTTGACAAAGTGATTAAATTAGAGGATCAGCAAAATGCTGTGGACATAGTATACTTGGCCTTCAGTAAGGCATTTGACAAAGTAGATCATGGTAAAATAGAAAATGTGGGATAGACAGCATCACCACCGGATGGATTCATGACTGGTTGGCAAATTATACTCAATCTACATGGGGAGAAGTATGCAGTGGAGTACCCCAAGGTTCTGTCTTAGGCGCAGTACTCTTCAACATCTTCATAAATGACATATATGAGGACCTAGAGGGGAACATATCAAATTTGCAGACAACACAAACCTAGGAAGAATAGACAACATTTTATTCAAGATCCAGAAGGATTTAGACAAACTTGAACCTTTGGCCCTAGTTAATAAATTGCAATTTGGTGGTGAGAAAAATAAGGTTTTACAGTTAAGCAAGAAAAACCAAATGCACAGGTATGGAATAGGTGGTACCTGGTTCAACAGCAGTAACTGTGAGAGGGATCTAGGAGTCCTAGTGGACAACCACTTAAGTATGAGCTAGCAGTATGTTGCAGCTGTTGGTCCTAGCCTAGTTGGCCTAGGCTACATCAACAAATGAATAACATCAAGATCACATGAAGTATTAATGTTGCTATATACTGTTTTAGTAAGAGTGTATCTGGAACACTGCATCCAATTTTGGTCACTGAATATAAAAAAGATATTGAAACTCTAAAACGTACAGATAAGAGCAACAAAGTTGGTTAGAGGGCTGGAGGCTAAAATATATGATGAATGGTTGCAGGAACTTAGTATGTTTAGTCTAACAAAGAGAACGACTAAGGTTGACATGAAAGCAGTGTTCCAATATTTGAAGGACTGACACAAAGAAGAGGGAGGCAAAGCACCTGAAGGCAATACAAAGAATAACAGATCAAAACTTATCAAAGAGACCACTAAGCTAGAACTAAGAAGAAATTTCATGGAACAATTAATCAGTGGAATGAGTTGCCTTCAAAAATTGTGGCTGCACCATCACTGGAGGTTTTTAAGAAGAGATTGGACAGCCATTTGCCCAGAGTGATATAGGATATAGGGGTTAGAAATCTCCAAGGTCCCTTGCAACTCAGTTATTCTGTTATTTTTCAATAACAATAAAAATGGGAATTTTGGATTAGGTGGTGATATAGATACCTAAGCTGTGAGGTACATAGGATTTTATAGGAAATAATCAGCGTCCTGAATTGCACTCAGAAAACCCTGGTATTTAATATGTCTCTTGCAGCATGTTGTCACAAGACAGTAACAAAATGGTCTTGTAAAAGATAGGCTACTGCACTTTATATCAGTTGAAGTTTCTGGATGCTCTTTTAAGACTGTAAAGCACTCTGTAGCAATAAGGGAAGTGATAATGGCATGAGTGGCCATCTTTAGTGCCCATGAACTAGTTGATCAGGGCTTCTAGGCTTCTGTCTATGGACTCCCATGAACTTCATAAACCTTATAAATCATCATGAAAAATAATAACAAAGGTTCTTAAATGCTAGATCTATTCCAAGTATATATTCATTTCATTGAAGAGTCAGAAGAATAAATGTAGCATAACTTAACAATCTTTAAAAAGTCTTCAGTTCAAACATGGTAATGTTATAACCTGTTTTATAATAACTACAGTAGAACCTCTGGTCACGACCATAATTCTTTCCATAACTTTGGTTGCAACCTGATTTGGTTGTGACCCAAACCTAATTTTGGAAATTTGGCACTTACAAAAAATTGCACGGAAAGGGAAATCGGCTGCAGGAAAAAAAAATTTTTTGATTGGAACCTGATTTGGTTGTGGTCAGAAGCGTTCATGACTGTATAGATTCTACTGTATAGTTCTACTGTATAGATTTTGTTTTCCCTTGTTTAAAGAGAATGTTATTTGTCCAGACTGGGCTGAAGCTGTCACTAATTTTAGAATCAGTTCTTTAGATTTGGTGAAGTATTATTTAGGAAGAGCTCAACTAAACTCATTGAGCTATCACATTTATCTTTAGTAGGCCTGAATAACAAATGTTACTATTTACCCAATATTTCAAAGCTTTTTATGTTTGTGCTTCTATATTATTATTCAGAACAATATAACAAATTTTAAAAAAAACTATTTTACTTTTGAAGTCCAAATTATGGGAATACAATATCTAGAAGCCACTTTTCAGGAAATTTAAAACAACTATTGAAAGAATTCAAATATTACAACTTAACTATTAAATATTAAATTTAACAAATAAATTTGAAGTAATTTAAATAGTGTTCTTTCAATGACTTACATTGTGGTTTTCCCCTGGGAAATGGTATTTTATATATTTGTTTTGTTTTGTTAGTGCCGTCACCTGTGACTGAATGAGAGGTAGTCCATTGAAAAGAAAGTCCAATTAAAAAGCCAAAAGGATAATGGAAAAGTAAAACAAGAGATGTGAAAGTGGTTTCAATTATATTCCCAAAACAAAGCTCCTCATTAGAATAAACAAATGATCAAAGAATTCCAAGTTCAAATGTTATCTTTGCTTTTTCCAGCAGCAGCTATCAGTTTGTACCCAAATAATACTTGTTTATCCGGCTTTCTCTATACGCTTCCTAGCTTGAAACTGTGGGGTTTTTCTCCTATTCTTTATTGAATATGATAGCAGTATTGTTGGGAAATGGCATAGAATATTTATTTTTAGTTAATTTGTCCTCATTTACTGAACATGTGTTTCCATTTAAGATAGTAAAATCATACTGATCTCAGTCACTATATTAGTTGCATAGACATAGTTGTTTTACTTGAAACTATGCATATGTTTTGATCTAAATGATCAGAAATGAACAAAATTTAATATATTCAACCATCTGCAGTATATAATTAAAATGGTATCTCTTCTGCCAACTGTTATAAAGTTGGAAACAGGAAAAAATTGATTATCTGAAATATGAACAGATTTTTTAAAAGTGTGAATGAATATATACATACAGAATTCTTACTTACATAATTCAGAAATATCAACAGTATGGATCACCATTTCTTTTAGATTTTGGAACCTATGTCTATGATACTTAAACTTCTCCCAGTCATAAGTATTTAAGTATTTATAAAGTTGCAGGAGATATAGACACTATTTTGAGATGATTTCTAAAAGCAGATGAGATATAAACATAGATAAAGCACTTTTTTATTTTCAGTTAATGATTAGGAGCTCAAAAAAATTAACACTTGATTGATTTGCAGCATTTATAACACCTTCCTCACTCACCCATTCTAGTTAGCTTTATTTCAACTTTCCACCTGCATATTTTAATGATATGTAGGATAAGGTGCCAAACTAAATAGAAGTAATTTAAATGAAAGGGATTGAAACTTAATTATTATTGTGCATTTGATGTAGTTTAGCTCCCTAAATCACTAGTGAGTTTTGGTATTATTTTTTATGATCTTATTCAAATATAAACAAAAAGCTTCCCATTTGTTACCAGAGTTGAAAATCTGATTTAAAGGCTACAAGTAGTTAAATATCTCACATTCATAGCAGAAATTCTGGTTTTTACTAGTAGACAAGCTGAGGAATTTGCTTTTATGCTGAGAGCATAAAATGTTTTTATTTGTAGATAACAAAAATTACAATTTCATTTGAGAAGCAGTGTATAATATTCTGTTTTTAGTGTAATGTTTTAGTCAGTTCAATAAACTTGTTTCTTTATTCAAATTTAATTATATTGATACAATGGAGCTTTATTTTGAATGGATACAAATGCATATGCACAGTAAATGAAGTAATCTATGCATAATCAATAGTTTTTTATTTATTTATTCATTAATCAAATTTATGTTTCAAGAAGTTGCTCTAGGTAGCTTATAATAATAGAATATAAACAATACACACATAAAATAATCATTATAACAATATACAAATCAGTATTAAAATTAAATATTTAAAAACTTACACAAGCATCTCTTTTATTCTTCCATTTTTTTGAAAAATAAAATAAAATTCTGTATGTATGACCAGTAGCCATATAAGACAAATTTCAGATATTCTATTTTTTACTAAGTGTTTCATTGAAATATTGATAGATTGTCATTATCCTTAAATTTAGATATTACAGTCAACTTTGATCAATCTGGAAGACAAACCTATATACTGTTTTGTATATTAGAAAGTAATTGTGTACATCTAAATGTCACTTTCTTTTAAATGCCATTTCTTTTAAATGTCATTTTAAATATATATATATCCTTCAGCTTTGTTCGGGTATTTTACCACGTCATAGTAGTGGTGCTTTTAAAGTTGTAGCTTTAAGCACCACTACTATGACGTGGGAAAATACCCGAACAAAGCTGAAGGCCATACA